CTCTTGAGGTCGGCGCAGAGCCCGTCCTCGAGTGTTCGGAGGCTGTACGACTTGCGCCGCGGACCCCGGACTTCGCGGCCTCCTGTCTGCTCTCGACTTCTGCGGTAATCTCGTCGACCGTCATGAGGCTGGCAGTATCTGAGCGGTCACGCTTGCTGCGCAGCTCAGTGATGTAGCTCATCCGCTTCGACGCGGTAGACAGACGTCTTGACGAGCGGATGGAGCCCTGGCTGTCAGATAGGTTGAGTGATTCTGACAGCGACTCCGAGGGGAAGGCTACTGGTGGCAGGAGGTGCGGGCTCGTGACATCTGGTACGTTGATGTCGACAGAGTTTCCGTCGTCCGTGGACAACGACAACCGTGGCGGCTCCTCGATCTTCGGTGCCTCGGCGTCGTCGTAGTCTTGGGACGAGTACGGCGACGGCGCGCGCTCGACCGCTGTCATGGACGACGACGACATCGACGCGCGCGGAGACGCGGTGCGCTGTGAGCCCAGCGTGCTCACGCTGAAGCGCGACTGCGACGGCATGCTGAACGAGATGATGCTGTCGCGGCGCCCGGGGACGCCGCTCTGGCGCATCATGCTCTGGCGGCGCGTGCGCTCCAGCACCTTCTTCTCCGTGAACGGGAAGTACGCCGCCAGGTGGGTCGTGATGAGCTCGCTGGGCGGCCGCTGCCCGAAGAAGTTGCGCAGCTTGTTCGGGCCCTTCTGGCTGTTTGTCGGGCTCCCCGACGCCTGCGCTTCGGGTTCTGCGACATCCGTCTTCGGTGGCGGGATGGGCACGCCGAGCCCGCTGAGGATGCTGACGGAGCTCGCGCGCTTCATCGCCTTGGTGTAGACCGGAGGCTCTGCCGCCAGCGCCCTGTCGAGCGGGTCCTCGTCTTCGTCCGAAACCGTAAGTGAGGGAGAACCGTATCCGCGCCTCGCTCGTAGTGTCTTGCGCAACGTGAAACCGTGCACGCGTGCAGGGTCGTCCGGGGATTTGTGGCACAACTCCACGATCTCTGCCTCGCTAAGTGGACTCCCTGTAGATCGTTATCAGACTTTGTTGCATTTTAGGTATCGTGTCAGAACACGTACTTTGCGCCTCAGGCATACCCCACTCTGAAAACGCGCCCCACCCGTCGACGCTAAGTCCGCCGTCGTCGGACTCGACGGACTCAGAGCTCTCCGGTCCGAGCTTTCCGAATTTCTTGAGCGCCTTCGTCAAAACCTCGACGCCACCGGAGCAATCGGCGACGTTTAATGTCGTGGTCTTGCCTTCCTCGGGCAGCGTGAACTTAATCAGCTTCCGACGCAGGTCGTCAAGTGAGGGATTGCTGCGCGAGGACGGCGTGCCTGGTCGGAAGTCGTTAAGGTTCCTGTACGCATCCCTGCGCCCTGAGGAGAACGACTCTGCGATAGGAGAGAGCCCATGTGCCTGTTGCAATTGCGAGGTCGCGTATGGGTGCGCGCCATTACCCGTGCGTGGCCGTGGCAGGGGTTTGTTCGAGGTCTCCGAAGTAGGAGTAGAGCCGGAATATGAGCCTGTCCTCGAGTGTTCGGAGGCTGTACGACTTGCACCGCGGACCGGCGGCTGTGAGGGGGGAAACGGCACTGGCAGAGGCGAAGTCGACCGGCTCGGCGCCCGATTGCCCTGCCGGGGGTCTGAAGGCAAGCCGTATCCCTGCCAACTCGGACCTTGCGTCTGGGAGCCTGGTGTGAGCAGCCCGGCCTGTGGTAAGGCGAGCGGCGCATCTGGCAAGGTAGGCGTGCGTCTTCCAGATGTGCTGGGCGTGCTGGGGGCATGGTGGAGGTTCCGGGGTGTTCGGGCGATCGGAGGCAAGGGAGGCTGCCCTCGTGGTGGAGGTGGGAGGGGAGGCAAGTTCGTGCGGCTGTGAGCAGTCGTAGGCGTACCATGTGTACTCGCACTGTTTGGCTGCAATGGCAACGGACGCATGTTGTTTAAGCGAGCTGAGTCCTGGCCGTCGCGTACCAGGCGGGGCAGGTCCGGCGATCCACCATTGGGGGGTAGATGCAGAGGTGCAGGTCGGGCGGACTCTAACCGTCGCGCGCCCGTGCGTGCTGCCCCATGGTCGCTGGATATACTGGAGGTACGGCTGTGGTCGATAGTGCGCGGGCGATTAAGGATGGATGTGAGGGCGCTGCTGGCGGAGCATCGTTGTCGGAGGTGCTTCACGCCGTTGAGAATGCGCACTCGGTCCCCGACGCTCGACATGCCCATCTCCTTCAGAATCATCTGGTCCAGCTCGAGGAGTACATCGCCCCTGATGTCGTTTGCCCTGAACGTCGCGGCTAGATGTGCACACCTGATTTCAGATAGCCAGACCGCGACATGCGCGTCAGTCCAAGAGCGAAGGAAGTCCGGGTATGGTGTGCCAGGAGGGGCCTCGAGCGCATGGTTGGGGTGGGCAGACGTAGGAGTATTCGTCAAAGATCCGTTTAAGTTAACATTTACACGGGAGAGTTGAGGCTGCTGAAGGGAGATGGGGGTAGCTGGAGAAGACGGGGAGGAGGCTCTGGAGGTGGGCTGGGACGCGTCTTCCAGCGCCTGGAGGTTGCTCGAGCTAGCCACTGCCACAGACATCTATGATGGCGTTTCAAGCAATCCAAGAGACACCAGTGGTCGTTGAGAGTCGTTACGGAGAGCGGAGATAGTCGAGGATGGAGGGACCAAGCTCGTCGACCAGCGCGCGTTTAACTTCTCATAGACCTGTATGAGGGCGACGTTGAGCAAGAGCAGACTCGACGAGAGAGAAGCTGAGGCCAAGGATAAAGAAGAGGGCAGATATGAACACCGAGCGGAAGGAGAGGGACAAGGGAGACGGCTGGAAGATGAGAACAACGTTGAGCTCCGGGACTGCCGCAACCGCAACGACCAATCCTGCAAGCGCCCGTCGCGATCATTCATTGGTGGGATTCGCGCGTGCCTTGTCCTTCTTCCACCTACACTCACTCCCTTTTTCTACAACACTCCGCTCGGCGCCGGGGACGCGGCATCTGGACCCCGGTG